ATTATGGGCATTACTAGGCATTAGTGGGCATTACTATGGGCATTACTATGGGCATTACTATGGGCATTACTAGGCATTAGTGGGCATTACGTAAAAAATTTGGCAGTAATGCCCAGAAATTGGGCATTACTAGGCATTGGTGTACCCGATTTTGGTCAGCGGTTTACCCCTCGTTTGAAACCGACCGTCCAACTTTCGAATCGTGCACTATATCTTCATTACTTCTTGTTACACCGTATAATCGAGAGACCGTCAGACTCGATATGTATAACGTTTATTTCTCTATAAAATGTAACTAAAATATTAGATGCAATTAAAAAGTTTTTACAGGCCTAAATTACTCAAAATTATTGGAAAATTTGTAAATTGTTTTCCTAATATAAACGAATGGACGGTTTTTATTAATAACAATTATATTAAATTTATATTAAGTTACTAAAAAATATTCTTTTTAATTTTACAAGGTTTACAATTTCTATTTTTTTTATTAAAAAGAATTATTATAGCTAATATTTTTTTTGTAAAATTAAATGCCACGAGTAAATATGTTGATACAAAAATTAACGAAAAAAAGAGACAATTAATAATACTACGTAATGTTATATTTAAAAAAACTCGATAATTCCTATCAATTTGTCGATTTTGTGCGTTAATGTTTTTCCGATGAAAATTTGATTTAGATTAAATTTTCAAGCTTAAATGTTTAAGTAAACTTTCAGTTAAGATTCCGTTAAAGGTCTTTTATCCACCATCGATTTCCCGGCTCCTCCACTTCTAGAATCTCGGACCACCGCGAGTCATCGTCTTCGGGTTCGTGCCCGGCAGTCAGTAGATCTTGGGTAGCTTCGCGGTATCTGTGATGGGTTCGTGGAAATCATTTTCCAGAGTGATTATTATATACCTGACGAAAGAGCTGATCTACCAGTGACTCGTCTCCGTTTTAGAAGTTTCGACCGCACTTTAGTCAAGAGATCGAATCCGTTTTAAAAGAATACTTCTTCTCTCCGAGACGGGACTTATAACTCGACGACTTGATTGACCCTCCGCTGGCCCCTTCCGTCCGACTTCCCTCGAATGGCAGTTTTGCCCTCTTTTATCTCGAAATTAAAAAGAGGGCTATTGCTGTCGTCTCGGCTGGTCGGTCGCGCCGGCTTAGCCACGACGAGGATAGAACGACAAAGAGAAGCCCGGCACAAAGTGCGAGAGGATTGTGAGAGAAGGGAAAGGATGGTGTCAGAGATGAGGCCAGGGGTAGTTGGATAGGACGCGAGTTGGCTTAAATTTAATTCACTTCTCTAGCAACCCTTTTCTATTCTCTCTTTATCACGACTCGCGCGGCGGGACCGAGGAGGGGGGGAAAAAGGGAAGAGAGGAGAAACGAGGTTGGTGGAAGACCAACTCGCGAATGCAATTTCCTCGTGGCGCGAGCTGTGGATGTTCCTGCAAGGGTTGCAACCGTCCAGGGCCGACCAATGTCGAGTCCCTTTTCCGGAAGCTAGCTCACTCGAAAAGTCCTTTGAACGTGACGATAATGCGAACTCGCAGCATTTCACCTCATTTTACTATGGGGATTTATAACGCGCTAATAAAGCGCGCGCGCGCGCGCAAGAGACCGTAGACATTATCTGTGAGCACGAGTCCTACTTCTTTAGACGTTGAGATAGGTTTCGTAAATTGTCAGAATCTTGCAAGATAATATTCGCAGCGAGAACTACGATGAATAGAGCGCGTCGAGGAATATGATTATGATGAATAGAACGCGTCGAGGAATATGAACTCTTTTGTCAATGGAAAGAAATTAGATTGCAATATTATGATAATCAAAGATTGTTTTCTGGCAATATCATTTTCATACATGTTTTTCGTTTCTGTCTTTGATAAGATGAAAGAAAGTAAAATGCACGGAGAGAATTGAATTTTATTTGAAAATTTACCCTGAAAAGCATGTTAATCATAGGACAATATAGTATTTTGACGAATTTTATGTAATTTTCACTATTTCTTTAAATATATACTATAAAAAAATTTGTTGTAGTGCACAGTAAAATTTATCAAAATATTATATTGTCCCACGATTAAAATATGATTTTCAAGGTAAATTTTAAAAGGAAATTCTCTCCGTGTGCAAATAAATTTTGTAATCTGAAATAATATTTGGAATTAAATAGTTCAATTTTGGTAGATACGTAATGAATTATTATAATATTTTTACAAGGCATTTTTTATTACTATCAAATTGCAGAATTTTTGTAATAGATAATATTAAAGAAAATGCTTATTTACATTTGTATTTTTATATAAAAATATATACAACACATAATCTAATATTAATTGAAGAATAACAATAATAAATTAACGAGTTATTGCACAAGTAGATAATCGATCTTATTTCACGATGCGATCGCCGTAACGACAGTAATTACAGTAAATGATCTCAAATGATAATTCCTAATACGTTTGAAACATAACTTTCCGATTTAATCTACGGTCACGATTAATGGATAGTATCGAGCACGTGAATTATGTAGCGTAACGAGGGTTATGTAAGAGCTCGGCCACGACGAATTAGTTCGATGGTATGCCACGTTAGTGAGCGGAGACCCTCATCAAAAATCATGCAGCAACGTTGCACTTGCTTCCGATTGCGATTTCATTTCTGCCAACGCGAAATCGCCGGGCGGTTGTAAAATTAACTCTAATCCATAACGGAGAATCGGGTCACGTTATGTGGCGAATGCAATTTCGACGGGGCGAAATTATTCCATCGTGCGGTAATCACCGTAAACCGACGTGGATTTTTGCTGGGCTATATCTTTTTTCTTTTGTCTTTTTTTTGGTACGAGAATGCTGACTGGGCCGAATGTTCCTCAAACGTGACGTTAGTACAAAAGCGCCGAGTCCTTGGCGATGCGATGCGTCGTTAACGACGGAGAATAATGTTGCGAAATGTCAAGAGATGCACATAGATAATGTCTTCAAATACGTCCTTCCCGTCCCTCTTATGTGTTTTGTGTGTGTTTGCATGTGTCTACTTTAAACGCTTTTTAAACCGTTGACTCTTCGTCGGAATTAATTTCCTTCCCAACTTGTAAGTTTTCGAAAGTTTTCTTTGACGCTTGGAGTTGATATAAAAATTCATAAATCAAAACTGACCGACTCAGGCTTTTAGCTGGCGTATATTAACGTGTATACCGCATATCGCGTACCGGAACTTGCCTTGAAATTAATTTTCGCGAGGTATTATCGATTAGGTACTTTAAGTGTTTTGCATTAACTATATATATGCGATTTTCCAAAGTTCGCGAGTATTCGAAAACCAAGAGTTGAGAATTTTTGTCTCGGAAACTTCGGGACTAATCAATTTCCTCTTAACATCGTTTGCAGCTCGAGAGCCCGTTCCCGAAGCAAAGAGGGATACCTCCCATCCAACTCAGCCAGGACCTTGGCGGTACATCTCGTCTCCTGCGGTGCGCCCCGAGGGAGCGATGTGGTGCTCGATGACGTGATCGACCTCTCGGTCAGCTACGCGCCGTGACCTCGTTCGAGTGGCTGGCCATTCACTTCTTCGGCGACCGGGCACGGTCGCACGAAACTCGAAGAGCATGACAAGACGCTAAGACAAAATCGAGAATCTCGATTTGTTATTTTTTTTTCTCCTTGAAAGGGAGTCAAAGAGAAACGAAGAGAAGTTTCATGGAAGAAGAGGGTGTCTCTCGTGGCTCGAAACGGGAGAATGTGTGAGAGGACGTCAAGATCATGAGGGTATTTTTGTAATGACGGATCCGGCACGGTCGACATCGGAACGAAGGGCGAACGATTGAGATGCGCGAACGGTGGATCTGACCGCGTGCTTTGCTGACACCCGAAGAAAAGGGCGTAAGAGGAGGAATTCCGGAGGTATGATAGACGCGTGAGGAACGGAACGCTGGCGACGCCGCGCGGGTAATTGAGACGTGTCGGCGAAAAATTTCACGCGTCGCGCCGGCGAGGTGCACTGCGTTTCTTCTGCTGCACACGAGGAGGAAGCGAGAGAATTGAGAAACACAAAGTGATCCAACAGACCGAAACGTTATGTCGAGCCGAAGAAATGAAGACGTATGAAAATTTCTATTAAGCGGACGTGACTATATGAAAGTCGATAGTCAAAAAGTCAGAAAAAAGATTCAAAACCAGATCAGGGTGTTTTTTTTATTAAGCGGAAGAATTAGACGCAACGGTCTGAGACTCTGACAAGTCCGGGCGGCCAGCTTTGGTTTGAACAAAGCGAACGAATAAGAGGGTAACTCCCGCAAGAGAAAGCGATGACGAATCTCCGGTCTTGTTGAGACCCCCGTCCGGCCGCGCGTGAATCTCGGCGTGCAGCAGGCGTGGAGGACAAGGTCGCGTTGGATGTCCGCGCGGCGTGAATATCCGCGAATTGGGAAGGTCATTCGCGATCGGCGCAGTGATCGCGCGCCGCGACGGCGGACATCCGCGTTCGTGGTCGCGCTCGCGACGCTGTCATCGCGAGAATCATTCCGTCGTCTTCCCCACTCGTCGGCGGCCACATGACTTGACGATTGCCTCTTTCTCCTCCCGCTGCTGCTCCTGCCCGTTTGACCGAAGGCGGCGGCGGCGGTGGCGGCGACAACGTCACGGCGACGTCGACGTGGACGATAGCGACGAGGAGTCAACGGCTGACAACGCGGCGTGGTGGAGGTTCCGTGCTTAAGACGAGTAACACGCGCCGCCGGCGATTCAGTCGTTCGCAAGCGGTTCGCTCCGCAGGTGCGAGACGTGCGCGTGGGTGCCTGCGAGACGTGCGTGTGTGGATGTGTATGTGAGTGATCGCGTTTTTTCCTGGATCGTCGTTTCCGCGTGCGTATAGTTTGTAAAAGGCGGCTCCCACACACACACATAGAGGAGAGAGAGAGAGAGAGAAGGCACACAGAAAAATCGGCCGTGAAGAGAATCGCAGCGGGGGACAAAAAGAGAGAAAGAGCTGCACATTCATAAAGTATAGTCCTTTAGAGGCTGTGGATTCTTCTTCTTCTCCGTTTCGGCAACCGTGGTGCGTCGTGACGACTGTGGTGTTTGTCGTGGTGGCGCGGTGTTACCGTCGTGTCGCTGCTATCCTGCTATCAAGCGGTGGCGACGGTGGCGGTGGTGTTGGTGGTGGATACACACGTATATATAGTAGTGGATGATAACGGGGGTGGTGGCCCGCGGGGGTGGCGAAACTGGAGCAGCCGGTGGCGATCGTCGTCGTCGGTGCAGCGGAGGAGCTATCATGTGCACGCGGTGGATTTTCGGACTGGCGGTCGTGGCCCTGCTGACTCTCGGCGGTCGAGCGCGCGCGTACACCAACCAGTGGGCGGCACACATCGAGGGTGGAGAAGAGGCGGCCAGGCGAGTCGCCGAGGACTATGGATTTCGCTATTTGGGCAAGGTCAGCGTCACGGAGCCCCAGGCCCATCGATTGGGACTGGGTCTCTTCCCTCTTTTAACTATATGATTCTGCGCGCTCGTGCGCCTCTGAACGGTCGCGGAAAACCTTTCTTTTTTACTGCACGGAGTATGGTTTTACGTTTTTGCCTGGAACGAACATCTGCCGATACAGCTGCTCAACGGTGGTAATTATTATATTGGGATCGCTTAATTTAATCGACTGTGACAAAATGAAACGTTTATACGAGATGGGATTATTGACGAGTAATGAGTATTATTAAAATGAGATTAATTGATCCAAATACCAGTTTTGGCTTATGCAAAAGGCGACGGTTTTTTTTTTATAGATTGTAAATCAGTGAGGGAAAACAATATTTAAATTAAATTAAGCGGGAATACTGAATATATTTGTTAATTGAATCGTTGATAATCGAAGTGCTGTAAGTATACATGCGGTGGAATAAACAAGGATGATATCATCGCGAAGGTAAATTATACAATGCGCTTGAGATGCGGCACGATGAGATTTAATGGCACGTTCTTCCAGGCAACAAACGATCTACGCCATTTAGTTCTGACGGCTCGATTAGTATACAACATCCAGGTTAAAATTACAAGATTTACTCACTTGACATTATCAGCTGCGGTAAATTTGAATGCAAATTCGAGTTAGAGAATTCTATTCTCGTGTAGAATAACTCGACATTGCGACGGGAGGAAAACCGCTTTGTGCTTTAATTAAATTTTATTTCATCATTTATTCGCGAAGTTAAGAAGTGCAGAGATCGCGCTCAATCGATCTCTCCTCATAAATTGGAATATGCGAATTAATATTTAAAGAAGAAACATATGCTACAGTGAGCGGTTTAAATATGCAATTAACGATCCGCAAATATGGTTTTTGTTGAATTTGTTCGCCGATATTAGCTCCATTTCCAATAGAGATATTTTAAAGAGACACGTAATCCTCATTGAAAGATATTTTAAAACCTTTTATAATCTTCAATATTTTGATATTTTTATTTTGAAATCGAAAGGAACGTATTGAGACTTATCCCTCTCGCTTCGGTTACATTCTGATTTCAAAGGAAACTTTCGTTACTGTATACGATAACGTTTGAAATCTAAATTGGCGGAGAGCTGAACTCAATACATTTCCGACCAATAGATCTTCTGCAGAAGCCAGTATGATATATATATATATATATACACATACATATATATATTTTGCTTGTGAGTTAAATAGTACAAATCTGATAACTCTCCTAAATTGAAATCTTTATGGAACTCTATTATCTCTATTTAGTTTCCGTCGGGTCGATACGATTCTCATTCCAAGTGAATGCGACATTCTTATTATTTTCATTGACACAGCCAAAAGAGTTATTTTTCCCATTTTTTTTTCCTTGAAGGACACAAAATCGATTTTTAGTGGCATTTGATTTTTCATCATTTTTTTCACAAATCGGAGGAAACATGAAGGAACATGTCGATTTCGAAACGGACATCGAATCCATTGCCGTATTTTTCATGCTTTCTGCGATCACAATGGAAAAATTCCACGCCGTTCGTGCATGCCATTTTCATTACGCTCTTTTTTTTACCGGGAGATCGTCAGGAAAGTCTATATAGCACTTCGTTGATCCGCTGTGTAATAATTCCCGGATTGTAATTTGTTCGGAAAATTATATAACTCCGCTCGGGAGAGAGAGAGATTCCGATATTTTTAGATTTCGATTTACATCTTCCTGTGAAGAGCAGACGTGATCTCATTTTAGCACTTAATCAAACATCAGCGTTCACGCAGAAAGCACACACGCACACACATGTGATAATTTCGCTTGGTTTACTTTATGTTATGTCTATTTTCCGTGCGTTATACGTACATACATGAAGTGAATACGTACGAAATATATTTTAAGAATAAGTTTTATAAACATGAACAATGAAATTTATATATAATATATGATTTTTAACTAATATTATTCATAAAAGGAGTTAAAATATTGACCGGAATTGTCTCTCTATTATAAGATCATATTCAATAAATGTTGATTTTTGAATTTTTTAAAAAAGATTTGAATATTAGGTAATCTCCGCATTGTGAAGATCTCATATAGTTGTACTTATAATTAAAATCGATCGCGGAATAAAGGTTTTTCGCATTGAGGAATCGCAATCCGCTGCACTCGTGCTGCCTATCAGACAAGATAACGATCCAATCCTTGTTATAATCGACCTCTCCTCGAGAAACAGCCGATTGCTGACGCAAGTCTTGGTGACGTGCGCCTCTGTTTCAGTGACCGTGAAGGCCGCGATGTAGACTTCGTTGTCGCAGTTGTTACAGACGGAAATTAACCTCCGCGACAATCTCCTTTCTGCCTAAATAGCTTGCGTCGCAGAGAATCGAGCTCCCGCTATCTTCGGTTTCCACGTCGGTTCTTCTTCAATCGAGCACGATCGGCGGACTCCAATTTGGGAGAACCACCACCCGCACCACCGAAATGTCGATGAAATATATCACTTACGTGATAAAGCGATCGCGAGTCGAGAATATATCCCGAATTTTTAGATTATCGAGAAAGTTCTTGCGGGGAAACTTTTTGATTTCTTAAGTACAAGCTGACATTGCGATTTTATTTTAACTTTCATTAATCTTGAACGATATTATCTTGAAAATAGAACCGGTTATGCAATAATTCTTGAAAGTAAAAGGATTAACAAACAATAAAAACCTAACAAACGTACAATTCTTGTTCTAGTGTGTAGTCAATTAACATAGCGAGTTAATTTACAAAACTTCACAAAATTAGTTAACAAAATTAGTAGATAAATTGCTGAACAAAAAATTAAGCGATATAATACCCACCTTCGATCGTCGTAATGTTAATTAAATGAAAATTATTTTATGCATTAATACTACATCAATAGTTACTGCTAATATTTGAAATCTATTTGCTTATATCTCAACGTGATTTACTCTGACGTCTCGTGTAAGTTTCCTAACAATTAACAAACACATCCACCGCTTTTGCATCTCGCATTCTGTTTTTTATTTCCGATTGTGAAGCGGCGGAAGCGCGACACAAAGCCCGGTTTGTAATTACGCGCTGATACTGATACTGACGATTTTTAAGATTGAATAACAACAGGATGTTGCAACTAAGGGGAGATAAGCGACATGCACACGCGTACATTTTACCGGCGGTGTGAAAATTCTTCCATTCAATTTGGCCCGTGGAAAATTCACGCCATTTAAATGGCTCGTTCGATCGCGCGCTCTTTATTTTCTTATTTCTCGCCCCCCCC